ATTCATGTCCTCTGCTACCCAGTCTTCTTCCCTTAGACTCAAACTCTGCCCTCTTGACTGACACTGTTACTTGGAATTAGCTTAAGGACATTTGTGGAAATATTACAGCACATTCCCTCCCAAACCCTCATGTTCCTGGCAGGTTCTGTGAGGAGAGCCATGAGAGGGAGTTCTTTCAGAGGTTACCAGGGAAGGGAATTACTGAAACATTCACAGAAATGTGAAGGGGGAAACACACTGTGTTCTTACAAAACAAACCTTACAGCAAAAAGAAATTCCAGAGGTTTAATAGGCCATTGTCCCTACAAATGTACCATTTCAGTCTGGCCATACACTTCATGGATGTCCAGCCCAGTGTAGCTCTTCCACTGCTCCATGACTTCTGGGTTGAGTGGTTCCCCTCCACTCATGCAGTACTTCAGGCTCTTGAATTTGTATCTTCACAGGGAGTTAAAAACAAGAAAGGCAACACTTAAATCTAGAGGGGGAGACCAGGAGCAGGCAAGGGTGAGCACCATGGGAGAGCTGTTTACTGGGAGAGTTAGTGCCACAAAGTGGGGAAATCAGAGGGGCCCTGATCCTTCTGCTCCCAATACAACAAGGATATAGCTCTGTGCTCAACACTCTCCATAAGCAGCAGTCAGAGTTAAACATGTGAAAAATAAAATTGTTGCTGAAGTCAGCTGGGATTATAAATAAACCTATACTGATCTGCTGAGCCAGGGCCCTGATTGCTGACCCTCTGCAACGGGCCAAGGGAGAAAGTTCAAGAGGGAAGGAAGGAACAATGACAGGCAGTGAGAACTGGAACAGGGGGTGAGGTACAACTGCCACAACAAATAATTCCCTCACAGTTATGCTGACATGCACTTTCTAGGATGAAGTCCTTCCCAAAGTCTGGACAATCAATGTGGTAGACAAAAATTATGACAAAGTATTTAACAGACTCTCAGTTTCATACACAGTTTCACAAGTGCAGTAGCATAAGTCTCAAATTTCTGAGGGAAAACATCAAGTTTCTCTGATCAAAAACCTCAGCAAAACTTAAATTTTGCATGATGGTCAAGGATTTCTTGTCAAGGATATTTTAAACTAAATTATTACCCTATTTTGGGTCAAGCAGTTCGATATAGGAGATGACTAAGTTTAGTTAGGGTAAACTAAACATTACTAAATAATTTTTTTACATACTTGGACAGATCATTTTGCACCAACATGCGGAACAATGTCGGAGCACCGACCAGGGCATCAATTGGGAATCTGCAGAGAGTCTAGAGGGTTAAACAATAAGAAGGACATGTGAAGCTCAGCCAAAAAACTGCCTTTGGAATGTACAGTAAACAGGTGACAGAGAAAGGAGAAGTACATTTGCCCCCTATGTAAAAGCACCACACCCTCTGTTGGGTGAGAAAACCTCCTGTAGTTGGTGCAATATGCAGAGATTGTAGATTGGATTACAAAAAGCCCACGGTAACACATCTACTGACAACAGGACTGCACAGCTTGGGGCATGGCCAGAGTATCTCCTCTGTCTACATCACAGGGAGGTGTTCACTTTCATCTTGGCTGGTGTGAGCACAGAAACGTTTCATCTCTGCATTAATACCCTCTGATACTATTTCCACAGTCACTAAAGTGAATGGCAGTCATTTATTGCTGCTTTTGGATGATTTTTGTTCATGTGCTCACTAGCTATGAGCAAAATGTATGAATGGATTGCATGTTTGTTCCCTTCTGTATACAATAAAAATGAAAACAGGGCTTTACACAACAAATACAGTATCTCAAACACAACCCCCATGAAATCTATGGATGCTATCAAGAATTGGTTTTGGCATGCTTTCTGCAGATGAATACATTTCCATGAGTTTTTCCCTTACATTTAGGATAACTTCTGAGTCAGTCTGCGGTAGGTTATGTATAAAGATACATGACCCAAAAACCCAAGGATCAAAAAAAGATGCTATTGAAGTTAGTATCCATCCTGTGTCTGCAGTGTTCCATATCATTTGAGACGACGTCAAATCCAACCAGTACCTGATAGAGGAAAAAAAAAGGATAATAAAATATATCCAGAAAGAGGGTAAAAGATATTAATTGGAAGATTGAGACAGTGGGGTGACCCTAGTCCCTAGCAATTTGATGGAGTTTTTACTCTGATTTCAAAGGGAGAAAGGCTGGGGATGTACATTGGTATTTCTTCAGTAATTTTTTACAATAGCTCTACTATGTAGCTTCAATTGTCTTATGTTCAACCAGGCTTAACTCTTTTATACCTTTCACTTAAAAGGGGTCTGAAACCAAGACTGCCCTGGGAATGTTGAGTCATCTTTGGAGAACCTGTAGTTCCACTGGTAAAGAAGATCATCATTGGGTCTTGAATCCTTGTTTTGACACAGGAATGGTCAGCAGATTGATTTCTGCAAAAAGGAGAATGTAATTATAACTTCAATGGTTGCAGTTAATGTAAATGAGTGCTTGTGGGAACAGGTCTGCTCTGTCCTCATGACTGCAGTGGCACTCAGTCATACTTACTGGTACAGCTCAGTGAAGTTCAGCCATCCCTCCCTGCTGCCTTTGGACACCATTAGCTTGGTTTTCAGGAGCTGGCACTGGGATGCCACCGAGTCCACTGCAGGAGCCAGTCTGTCAGTGGTAATGATGCACGCAGCCTTTGATGCCTGGAGTCGGTACAGTATGTCTTTAGCTGATAATTGGGATGTTCCTGGGATTATGACAATTCCTGGAAGACAGATAAAGTTAGTTTGTGTTGGCATTTTTTCTGTATCTGACTATTTTCTAAGAATCCAAGCTATTAAATATTCCCAAACTGATCTCTGATATCATTTGCCCTGGTGTTCCCCAGCCAAACAGTTAGATTAGATTAATGCAGATGCCTGTGCTCTCCTGTCAGCAATTAAATGTGGATCTGTCTGGTGACTTCCATGGCTCTTCCCTGCCTTCTGGCATTTTCTTGCCCACTGCATGAGCTGGTGCAAACCCTTCAGGACTGCCTGGCAGCCAGTCCGCCCACTGGACTATTACACTATTTTTCCTTGATAAACCATATCCATTCTTGATCCTCTCAACAGATTTGCAATGATCATTTGACCTCACTGACCTGCTCTCATACAAGCCACCTTGACCAGCCACCATTCTGGAATTCGTGGTAGGATCAGGATAAGCCTGTCTCCCTTCTGCAGTCCACATTCTTTAGTCAGTACATTGGCCACTTTCCGAGACAGGAACCCCAGCTCCTCAAAGCTCCACTTCACTTCTTCTCCTTCGCCATTTACCCACCAGAAAGCAGGGTTTGATGGTCTCTTTCCAGCCTATGAAACATAGGAATTTAAACATAAAAGATTTTCTCCTGAAAGACCATGAAATAATGCACAGATGCCTGTAAATTATGGAAGAGCTGAGTATTTGACATAGCTGGCATATAAGCTATTTTTTTTTTCTTGTCCTTAAAGGATCAAGATTTGCTATTCATCAAGCTCAGTCATTCCCAATAGATTCTCTTTTTCTGAACTTGAAATGTTTACCAGCCTAATTGTCTCCAGATCCAAGTCCTAGTCTGGATCCTATTTCAGTTTAAGCCTTTTACTGTGCATTAATGGTCCTACAAAATAACAATAAATAAAGCAAGAAACAATGAACTTTTGTATAATTTTCAATGCAAATTTCATTTGGCAACTGATTGCTTTTATAAAGAAGAAATCCCAGCTTATTTCAAAAGAAATTTAAAATTAAAAGTATCTCATTGGCACAACAGAAGATCACCTACCTTTTCAATCTCAGACCATCTGTCCAGTACATCACTTGCAAAGTTAAAGTACCTTGGTATTTCCTGTTTGCCCTGTCTGATGGACTCATACTGGGAATGCACATCAGAGGAAAGCAGTCTGGGGTGTCCATGGAAAGTCCTATTAGGAGGTTTCAGAATCCACAAGAGTTTTAGATTCTGTAACTTCAACAGCAGCTTCATGGCAGAAGACTATGTGTCTAGATGCTGTACACTATATAAGAAAATTGGAGAATTCTTGCTATGAATCCTGCAACAACAAACAAACAAAAACTGAACCAACAAAAAAAGAGAAATAATATTGAGATTATCCAAAGGTAATCCAGTTCTTCATTAAAGTCACTTAGGCTAGTCAGAGCCAGACTGATTTGAACATGCTAATTAAATGTTAAGTTCCTGCTTTCACATATTTTTAGTTTTTAAATTAATTGCCCACAACTCTCCATAGTAAAACACAACATCAGATATTATTCTTTACATTACAAGAATGTTCCTGCTTCATACATTCAGTATCTAATTCTCAATTCCTTTTTCTTTTCTGCTTGTTTCCAAACTAGTTCCATCAAGAATCTCACTGCTTTAGCCTCAGCAGTTGCTGACTGATTGACCCATTCACATCACCAATCCCAAGAGCCTTCACTTTGTTATGTAGCCACTGAGTTTGATAGAGACTTTTCTACTCATTTTCCTGGCCTGTCTGCTGTGGACAGGAGAGATCAGGAGCTGCTGGGGGAGATCCTCTTCATTCATTCCACTCACCTGTTAGGACATGTTTCCCATATGAGGCACTGTAAGGATCAGCTGTTCCCTGGAGATGTGAAACCTGGAAACTCCTTCATAAAGGTTTTGGAGTGAAACTCTTCTGACTTTATTGCTCACCTCTTCTGGAGTAACGAGAACAGAATGTGGCACAAAACAGACCAAGCAGCAAATTCTTCCTGTGGAGTAACTTTTTTCTTGTAATCATTTACACCATTGTTAATTGTGCATAATTTGCACCTTAACCTAAAGCACTTTGGGTCTTCTTTTGCCTCAAGTTTAACCATTTAAGTACATCACAAATTGATCATGATGAAGAGAAGCATTCAAAAGAAATTTTTTTTCTTTCCACTCTGAAAGAATTTGAGAATGGTGCAGTGGTAGTTATTGACAAGAATATATCAATGTGCTGCTGATACCCACCACAGGACAAAGATTATTTTTATTAACTTCTCTTTTATTTGTATGTCTCTAAGACTTGTAGTTACACTTTGAGTGTTTTCTACTTTTTCTTCCACAGTTCGTTTTTCGCAATGTTTCCATGTGTTCTGGGTCATAAACATGTGCCATGTTTGATGTGTTATCGTTGGTACAGGTAATAGAATATTTCTCTCCACATTTTCCAGATCACTCTTGCTCTTTTTATACTTTTGCCCACTCTTTGCCCCTTAGAACATTTCTCTGGATTTTCCCAGTAACTGTCTTTGGCAGCTCCTTAACAAACTCCACCTGAAAGGCAAAAATACATCGTGTTTAAATTCCCAGCTGCAGGAAAGACACATTTTCATTATGGTTGGGGATAAAAGGATGGGAAGCTGCAGAGCCAGGGCTGGGATGATGAAATGCTGACTGAATGCCTTGCCCATTTGAAATGCTGTGAAAACCCCACTACTCCAGGAAAGAAAGACTGGGCCCTCATGAAGTAAAATTTCATGACCATTGCCTCCCCCTGGGTCCATTCTAGCACACACAGCCAACCCAAGGCTGCAGCTGCATCAAACCCTGTCATCTCCTTTTATTTTATCTAACTCTGGTTGGAGTGTTTGTCAGAAAGGGGTTGAAAAAGAGCTGAGGTGGGACAAAAAATGCACAACTTCAGGTACAATGAGAGAACCTGTTTTTTTGGGCTGTACTTACCTTCCTTGGATACTTGTATGGTGCAGTCACCTTCTTGACATGTTGTTGAAGTTCAAGAGCTAATTTTTTTTGATCATGTGATTCATAGAGAGGAGCTAAAACAACGAAAGCTTTGACCACCTGTGCCACAAAAATGAAGGGGTTCCATTAACTTCCAGAGGTGGCAATAAGGGAATACATTTGTTTTGAAAAGCGAATGTCAAAATTCAGAATGCCAAAATTTGATCTTTTTCTTTATTTTCCATTTTCATTAGCTGTTTATTAGAGAATGCTGTGCTATGAAGGACCCATTCTGGAGCAGGGGATTTTTTTCCATATTACCGTCTTTTTTTTCCCTTAATGTTATATCCTAATACAGCTGAAAATCTTGACTCTGTTGCTCAAAGAAATGTTGCGAAGTTGAAAATATAAGACAAAAATGAAACACTCTGGATGTCACTGCTACACTGCACTAAGTGACAAAACAGGAAATAATCAAAATTTCATTGCTTAGACATAAACATGTCTTAATTAGTCTGAAAAGCTAAAATATTTTTCCCCACATAAAAACGGCAAGGAAAGAAATAATTCTGATATTGTAAGATCGATTAAGATATGGATTTTAAAAAAATTAGCCTATTTTAAAAATATTCAACATATTGAATTCCAAGGAAGCCTGGTACATATAAGGAAGTTGATACATAGTAGAAAGGGTATTTATTTTACAGTTTTTCCCTATTTTGCTTTACCTCCCCTCGCACTGGGTCGGGACTGCTGACAACGGCCGCCTCCACCACTGCTGGGTGCTCTATCAATGCACTCTCCACTTCAAAGGGGCCAATGCGGTACCTGGGGAGCACAGAGACAGCTCAGCCCAGCAGCAGGGACCAGTCCTTGGGCTTTCCAGGCTGCATTTCATCAGGCAAATCTGAAAGGAAATGCCTTACCCAGCAGAGTTAATGATATCATCAGCTCTTCCAACAAACCAGATATATCCCTCTTCATCCATAAAGCCTCTGTCTCCAGTGAGATAAAAATCTCCACACAGAGTGGCAGCAGTTTTCTCTGGATTATCCTGGCAACAATCAAATATTTCAGGAAAGGTATCTGATTATTAGTGAAACATTATGCATTTCCTTAGCAGTGATGCTAAAAAATGACAAAAATAATTTTTTCAGTTGTTCTCAAAGTAAATGTGTTCAGTATGGTTTCATATTTTCAACTAAAAAGCCATATTAATTAGCAGTTTGATGCCTGAAGTATATGGCAGGTGGAAAAGAGCACTACCCACTAAAAAATGTATGTAGAGATTTCTGTACTAGAGAGAAAAGGTTGTGCTCTATCAAAATGCCCATCCATCACAGCAAATGTGTGACCCACAAAAATGTGTAACCCACTCTGTTCAGGGAAATGATTTATCATTGCAGGTGGTTGCCACAATAACCTTCTGTCAAAAGAAACTTTTTACCCTTAACTGACAGGATCAAAATTCCAATGAGGTCACCTGCAGGAAAAACTTCATTATTTGCATTGACCTACAGGACCTCTACGTCCAGTGTAACCTCTTGGTTACACAAGATAACACTTTGACAACAGAAGACAGAGTGAAAACCAGAAGCTATAGTATTGAACTTGTAGAAGTTTCTTATCCCTTAATGAGCAATTACATTTTATAAGTTGTTGCCTGAGTATGCTACAAATATCCAAATATTATGGGGGTTCAGAAAAGGATTAAAAACACAGCTAGGTCCCCCAAAGCTTATTCATTAGGATAGTTCAGTTGCAGGGGAGAATATCTTCAAGTTTGCCTGGGTCTACTGTTTTCTTAAGAATGTCCTGCCCCTCAGCATCACCACACACTGATCAGGCTCAAAGTCCTCAAGTAACCCAGTGAGACTTTCTGAGGATCCTGCATGGAATTCTGCTCCTGGCAGCCCTTTGCCCTGGGTCTCTCCCGAGTCCCTCAGCAGACACAGCCACAGCGAGTCAGGCTCACCAAGTACTCGGAGAACAGACAGAAGGGCCGGGTGGGTTTCACTCGGACAGCAATGGTGCCCTCTTCTCCTTGAGGCACAACAGCCCCCTGCTCATCTACGATCTGCAGAAAGGACAGACACAGCAGGGCTGCTTTGATCAGCTCACAGGAACATCTGCTGCAGCTCAGTGCAGGGCACAGAAGGGACACAGCACTGCCTTACTCTTCTACCCACAACTGCCACATACCTGCACATCATAAGGGGGAACAGGTTTTCCCAAAGAGCCTGGTTTAATTTTCATTCCTTTCAGATTGGCACAGATTGCCACCTGCAGAATAGATTTTTAAAATATTTTTTTAAATTGTTGCAATATCTTGTAAATTTTATTATTGTTTGCATTAGGCATCTTTCCATGACTTTGTTGTGACAAGGGCTGAAAGGGACCAAAGCACTGTGTTTTTTTTGAGAACATCAGAGGGGTTGAGAGGCATTTCAGGTCAGACCTGTGAGAGCTTTGTTTTGTTGAGTCTGAGCCAGTGGATTGTCCTGCAAATACTTGACTTTTATTTTGCAGGACAGCAGATTATTATTACAGATCTTATTTCAATACTGGGACAATTAATTTGGGACCATTTCAAGGGCAAAATGAGAGAAACCCTGAGATCTGGCTCTTAATAATTTTGTTAATGTTCAATTACAGAGAAGTCTAGGATGTGAGCTGGTTTAATATTTGCCATTAAAAACTCAGACAGGCCAAATTGATAGCTGGAGCAAATTATGCTTTCAGGGTTTTTTGGAAGAAAAGATGACAAAGGGACCTCTTACAGCTTATTTGATCTGAAGTATCTCTGGCATGGTTTTTTCAGGTGTCTAAACCATTAGAATATGCAGCTTGCTGACTCTGTAACTGTATAATCGTAACTATACAAAGTCTTTTTTTTTTTAATCATAGAAATGATTCTAACATTTTCCATTGATTTATCAAGGACGTCGTGCCTCTGGCAGTCTTACCTTTGAATGGGAATACTACAAGAATTAATGCAAACGTACTGTTTCGGTCTGGCCATATCCTTCATGGATATCCACCCCTGTCTGGGTTTTCCACTGGGAAAACACTTCAGGATTGAGTGCTTCCCCTCCAGTTACACAGTGCTTCAGACTCGGGAACTTGTACCTTGAGAGGAAGAGCAAATGAAATAATTCTCTTAACTCCTAAAATGAGCAGTGAGCAACCTTAGCTAAACAGACTTCCTCAGCTTTCTAAGTACACCTAAGACTGAAGGAAAGGCTGAATAGGATGACAGAGCCTGAGCTCTCTGCTAAACCTGGATTGGCTTTTGGCAGGATGAAAGACCTATGTGACAAGAATGAGTACCTTACCAAGATGTGAAAACTCCTTGCAAACCACTTCTCACAAGCTGGGTATTTTACAGAGTAACAAGACAGGAAGAACAGCTGCCAAATAACTCTCAGCATGTGGAACTCCTCTAACTGCTCCCTTCATTCTCAAGCATGTGAGAACAACTTCATGGTGCACCAGTAACTCCCTGATCCAATGCTGCTTAAAACATTGACTTAAATTGAACTGTGAAGCCTAAGTTCAGAGGAAGTGACAGCTTAAAAAAAATCTCCTTTGTTTCCTCAGTGCTGTCTGTTCAAAGACCCAGCCCTGAAGCCCATTAGCCCATGGTGTGGCTAAATCTTCTCACATTTGAAAATGGAGAGTGGTCTTTACTGAGAGCAAGCTTTGCTAATTAGGTTTCCTTGAACTGAAAAAGAGAATTGAGGAACCTCAGGAACTAAGCATGCAGAGCTGTCCCAGCATTATACCCCAGCCTCCCTCCCCTCCCTGCTTTACCTGCTCATGTCATGTTGGACCAGCATGCGGAACCCGGTGGGAGCTGTGCAGAAGGTGGTGATGGGATATTTTGAGAGAGTCTAGAAAAATAGGAAATTACTGTGCTGAAAAGAAAGTGTGATACTGCGTATGACCTTGTGAATGTGCAGGTAATTAACACAATTTACATGCTCAAACGTCTGCAAGATGAAAACCCTAAAAATGCTGTACCAGGCAGTCCAACTCCTGCATAATATGGAACTTTCTGTCCAACAGAAGTCTCTCATGTAAATGAAGGACCAGTGAGAGCAGTAGTTCCAGTTAAGGGTTTTTGGGGGGTTTTCCAAGGTGTCTGTGTCCCAAGCTCAAGCCTAATTGATGATAGGGAACTATACCACAACTTTCCCAGTATTATTCTTGGGAAAGTCAAGGTTTCCGCCCCACACAAGAGGCCAATGTTGAGGAGAATCATCCAGCTGAGTGGTTTTAAAAAAGAGCTGGGAAGAGGAATAGGCATTCTGGTACCTTTGGATTGCTTGGGATGCAGGGATTACTCACCTCTCCAATAACTTCTGGTTGAAACAGTGGCAAATTGTGTATAAAGACACAGGCTCCACAGATCCATGGTGAAAAAACACTGCCATAGGCTGATTTTGCCCAGCCAGTATCAGATGTATTCCACATTACATCTGAAGGAGTCAAGTCCAGCCAACGCCTGATGAAACAGCAGAGATGAAAAAAACCTTCAGGGAAAGCAAATCAGTACCAAGCCACAGATTTAACTTTTAAGGTATAATGAAATGGCCCAAGGTTGCTTTGGCTTTCAGGGAAGGTTGACCCAACATTAAAGCACTTGACTTCCTCTGGTGTGGTTGTAGGGACACTTTATTACTCCTCTGCTTTCAGCCCTGCAAATGACACAACTCTGCACATAATGAGCTCAACTGGGCCTTCAAGAAGGTTTTAATAACAAGGGTTTTACCATGAGAGAGGAAAGATGAAGCAGCTGCAAATCCTACAGTCATGAAATGCCTACATTTACTGGAATGTTATGGTCTCGTGTTCAGTTTAGTGCTGATCGCAGCAATTAATCAGGACCCTGGGGGGAACTGCAAGGTAATACCTGCCAGTGGTTGCAAATCCAATGCCGTAACTGCTGTAGGAATGCAGCACCATTTTTGGGAAGCCCGTAGTTCCACTGGTAAAATACACAAGCATTGGGTCGTGACTCCTCGTCTTGATACATATATGGTCAGCAGATGCAACCCTACAGAAGAAATTATGTTTTCTGGTCACTGCATGCAGTTTTCCACCAAGGAAGCAGTATTTTTAATGTTCAGGAGATCAACAGGAAAGCTGCCCCAAATTATATGATCTTACCAAATCCATTATATATAACAGGGAAAAGTTAGAGAACACATTTTGCCTGTCACGTACACTCTGAATCACAAGGTTGAGGAGCAAGAACAAGCTGAAGGACCTGAATTTCGGTCCCAAAACCGAAATGGGTTGCATGAATATGTACTTAATGCAGTGTAATCACAGTGCTGCAAGTTGACAGAAATATAACTCATTCACATTTTGAAAATTACCCCCACAACTCAGCAATGTCTCCTGAATGATACAGCTCCCTCCACCTCAAAGAACTGGAAAGAAAAGAGCTGGATACTCACGCAAGGAGTTCTTTGAAGTTCAGCCACCCATCCCTGCTCCCTTGACCTACAATGAGTTTACTTTTCAGGAACTGGCTGCCAGACAGGACAGATTCCACTGCAGGTGCCAGCGTGTCATTGGTAACAATGCACTTGGCCTTTGAAGCCTGGAGTCGGTATAAGATGTCTTTGGCTGTTAGTTGGGATGTTCCTGGAAAAAAGACAATTCCTGGAAAAAAGCAAGAGGCAATTGAGAAAACTCAGCATTTCCCAAAACTACTTGATTATGTCTCTCTGTTGATGCTGATTGTATTCATCATGGATGTTTCTCAGTTTAAAAGCTGAGTAAAATAGATCTATTGAATTATTAATGACACTAATTCTATAAGTTCTTCCATTATAATTTCAGCTCCCTTCCAATGTATGTGGTCAAGTGTGGCCTTTGGTTGCAGCCATTCAGCCCTCGCTGGCTGAATTGACTGATTTTGACTGGACCATGTCTGGCCCTGTGCTTCCTGGGTGGATTCTGCCAATTCTCCTTCTGGGCAAAAGAGCAGCTGTAGAGACCCCAAGAGAATATTCCTGTTTGCATTTTCTTCACCCTAATCTAAGAGATGGCTTGTGGGCTCTGTTTGCTTTCTGTCTGCACCCACCGAGTCCATGAGTCACTCACCTGCTCGCATGCAGGCCACATTCAGGAGCCACCACTCAGGAACACGAGGCAGAATTGCTACAATTCTGTCTCCTCTCTGCAAACCACAGGCCTCAGAAAGGACATTGGCTGTCTTCTTGGACAGAGAGCCCAACTCCTCAAAGCTCCACTTCACCTCCTCTCCCTTATCACTGACCCACCAAAAAGCTGGATTTGCTGGTTTTCTTCCATCCTACAACATGCGAGCAGATATTAAACTAAGACAAACCTTAAAAGGTTACTTAGGTTACTTAACTTAGGTTACAAAGTAACTCTAAACTAAGCAAATCATCCCTGGCAATCACTCTCTTAGGGTGACACCTGTATTTCTGATAACAAAATAACACAGTGCTTTCCATTCTGCAGCCAGTACTGCCCAGTACCCATAAGTAAAATGGATTTGTATCGTCTGAGATTCTTTCCACTTTCTCCTCATTTAGTCTGCAATAGAGTCAATTTTCTTACTATGTCCTGGTAAAGTGGTGTGGTTTATGAATTTAGGATCATTGTAGTGTTGATAACACACTCATGTTTTAGTTGTTGCTAAGCAGTGCTTACTGTAAGTCAAGGACTTTCCAGTTTCCCACACTCTGCCAACAAAGAGGCGCACAAGAAGCTGGGAGAGGTCATAGACAGGACAGCTGACCTGAACTGCCTGAAGGGATATTCCACATCACAGGAGGTCATGCTTAGTTTATAACCTGGAGGAAGGTTATTGGGAGGTGTTTGGGGATGGGCTGGGCATCAACCAGTGGGCAGTGAGCTCCTACTGCTACTAATATGATGATTATTATTATTATATTTCAATTCTTAAATGGTTCTTTCCTCAACTCATGGGTTTTACCTTTTTTTCCTCCTGATTCTCCTCCCCATCCCATTGGATGTGTGTGTATGTGTGTGTGTGAGATCCAGGGGCTCTGTGGTTCTCAGCTAACAGCTGGGGTTAAACTACAATTCAATGTCTATAAAATAAAAGACAAATACTACCTTTTCCAGTTGTGTCCACTTATCTAAGACATCACTTGCAAAGTTGAAATATTCTGGCACTTCCTTTTCACCCTGGTTTATAGATTCATAATGGGAAACTATCTGAGATGTAAGAAGCCGGTTGTTTCCATGGAATGTTCTGGAAGGTGACCTGAGAACCCACAAACACTGTGGAATCCAGGATTTAAGAAATGTTCTCATGATAAATGATGTTTTATCAGATGGTGAGGGGAAGGAATCAGGTGTACATCTAAGGAATCAGTCACCTGGAATGAAAGAAAAGACATTTAAACCAGACAGTTATTGGATGCTGTCCCACGTATGATGTTGGATAAATGAATGCAAACCAGCTTGAATAAATAGGTTGCTTACACACATCCTCATTTCATGTCATGTTAACCTGTATTTTTGTGATGTGAACATTTAACATTATGGTATATAGAAGGAATAAGCACAGTCACCTTGAGGTTAATAAAATTAGCAGAGTTGTTGCTATGAATCCTGCAACAAAAACAACTGTGGAATCTCGTCCAGCTGGAATAAATGGGGGTTTAACCTCAGTAGCACATGCAGGAGGCATCAGCCTGAGGCTATGGTAAACAGGATACTGAGAAAAGGACACCTAGCCAGGTCATGATGAGAAGAGTGGGGTCATGGGAGCCAATATGTTAATAGAACTATCCTATATTTGATCAGGTTTCTGGTTCTTGTTCTCACTTGGTTCAGTACCTTTTACAAATAAGGTCATGTTCCGAGTTTGCATTCCTGATTGGACCCTTGCCCTCAGAAGATTCCTATACCTTGTAATATTTGCCACGCCCCTTCCCCCCATCTTTGGATCATGCCCCCAGACTCTGTGACTTCTACGTTTGTTATTTTCCTATTAAAGTTTTGGTGGTTTTTTTTTTTTTTTTTTTTTTTTTTTTTTGGGCAAGACCATCATTCCCATCCCTTTTTTTGCCAGTCCCCCCAGCCAAGTCAAACTAGGGGTCGCAGCGAGTGAAACTACAATGACTGGCACCCGAACAGTCAATCAATCTTCTTCTGTTTGATTTCACTGGGTTTTACCAGTCATAAAGGCCTTTTTATTTTTCTTCTGTGGATTAAATCAGCAGGCCTGACATGGTTACAAGCAACCCTTGGAGTCAGATCTTTTGGGTGCCAGCCAGAAAAAGCAGGTAAGCGGAGAGAAGAGACACTTATTCCTGCTGCTCCTACCCCAGCCAGGTGGGCATACCCCACCTAATCCCGATTATCATGGGAATAAGACTGTCAAGACTAGACAGAGACATAAATTTTTCTTAGCAGTCCACAGAAGGCCCAAAATCACGAGTTAAACCCCCCTAAAATGATTGTTTCGGAACTTTCTGGCGACTGTAGCCAGCAGCGCCGTGCCAGGCTCAGCCGCAGCCAGGGCCCTGCCCTCACCCACCCACCGGGCACGGCCCAGCCCGGCCACTTGTGCTTCAGCAGCTGCAGCCCCGGCTCGGCCCTGCACAGTGCTGCAGAACACGGCACGGACTGTGGAGCCTTCTCTGTGGGATTTTGGAATTTTGTGGGTGTCACGCTTTATGACCTAGCTACCAGAGGACCCTCTTGTCATGTGTCTGCTGCCTGCTTTCTGTGTGATTCTGAAAAGGCTCAAAGCCAAAGAGCACCGACTGCCGGCGCTCAGCCCCTCCCTGGCCTTGCGGGTGTGGCAGGAATCCGGGGGGGTCCAGGGCCACTTCACTGTGCAGGATCCCTTCCCAAACCGAGACTGCCTTTAACCCCTCTCACCCTGGGGATGGAACGCGAGGGTGGAACCTGTCCCAGACACAGGAAGCAGCGCAAACCCCTGCCCCTTCGTGTTCCTTGCCCTGTCCTCCCGCAGACTGCCCCACAATGGAACTTGACACAAGTTACTCACATACCCTGTTATCCCCTTCTGCCTCCTCTGCTCAGGATCCCTCTCAGATCCCCCCCACCTTCCCTGCTCCTTCACCACCCCAGCCTCTCTCCCGTCCATCTGAATATCCTGTTGTACTACCTGCTAACCACCCTGCTAACGTCTATGCCACCAGAGGCACCATGATGCCTCAACGTTCCCCCTTCAACTCCACTCCACCACTCCTGACTACAACTCCCAGCATGCCTCAGGCCACGCCCCCAGGGAGCCAGAGCCACGCCCACCATGGCCCCGGAAGCGCTGCTCTCCAAAATGGCCGTGCTCCTTCCCCATGGCTGTGCCCAGACCAGAGCACCAGCTCTGCCTTTACCCTTCCAGCAATAACAACACTGTGCTTGCATCCTCCCCCCTCCTCAGAAGAAAACCTAATCCCTTCTAGAGCCAGTGATTCCACTGATCCGTGGCAGAAGAGCCAGATGAGTATGGTAAAAAACAGAAGGGGAAAGGCTGGTCCTACATGGGAACCTCGAGCCTATAGGGAAATACAAAGACTATGAAAGGCTGCCAAAAACTATGGACAGGCTTCTCCTTTCTTCAGCAGTCTAATGCAAGCTGCTTTCACTGCATATCCTTTAACCCCTCATGACTTAAAGCACGTGATGACTGTGCTGCTGTCTCCAGCTGAATTCACCCTGTGGGAAAGGGGGTGGAAGAGGCTGTTAAATCAATTGTTGCTTATCAAATCAATTGTTGCTTTACTATGCTGAAGACCAGGCACAGGCAGTGCTAATACTAGAACACTCAGCTGGGGAGGGAGCACATACCCAGCCCCATGATTAGGCTGCAAACCTCCCAAAGCCAGCGCTTGATGATATTAAAAATGCAGCAAGGAAAGCACTCATGCAAATGCCTGATGGTAACACACCTGCTCCAGACTTTGTAGATATAAAGTGAAAGCCTAGTAAACCATGAATAAAGCTAAAGTTTTGGCTCCCCTTCACCAGAATCATCCACAAGAAATCGTTTATCATTATATGGATAATATTGCAGCTGAAAATGACCCATCTTTACATTCAACTTTGAAAGCCACCATCACAGCCACCCAACAAGCTGGACTGACCATTGCAGAGGAAAAGATACAGCAAACATCACCCTAGAAATATTTGGGACTTAAAATTCTCTCTCAGACTGTTACAAACCATTAATTGAGTTAAGCATTTGCTAAAGATCGTTAATAAAGATTTAGTCCTGTTGTTTGTTTTGTTACATGCCTTTTTAATTTGGTAACTGATTCTGCTTATTTTACAGGTGTCATTGAGAAAGCTGAAAATTCATTCCTAGAGACAGTTACTAATGATCAGTTATACTCCTTGCCGAAAACTTTAATTTTTATTCTTTCTCAGAAAACAGCATCCCTGGTTTGTCATGTATGTATGTTCTCATTCTTCTTTGCCAAGATTCTAACAGAAGGTGATAAACAAGCTAACATCCCTGCACTAATACACGTTGTCACTACATGCCCTGACTGCCAGAAATGCTGTCTATTGGGGCAGGAGTAAATCCTTGAGGGCTTCACAGTTTACAGATTTGGCAAAGCAGTGTGACCCATTATGTGTCTTTTGGTTGCTTTAAATGTATACATGTTTCCATAGAAGATTCTCAGGAGCAATCTTTGCCTCTGCTCACAAAGGTGAAACAGCAAAAGATGTTATTAAACATTTCCTACAAGCATTTTCAATTCTAGGCATCCCACAAGAAATAAAAACAGATCATGGTCCTGCCTATGTCTTTTACCCCTTGTCTCATGTCTTCAGTTGTAGCTGTTTATTCTTACATCTTTGATGCACGGATTTCAGCACTGGTCACATTTTATTCCTCAAGAAAAGTTACTTATTTAAAATTTGAACTATTGTCTTATTCCTTAGTAGAACCTTATACAGTAATATTTAATCTGCCCAACAGGCAAATGAGTTCAAATACCCAGAGCTTAACACAACTTAATCTTTTCAGTGGTGGCTGCCAACATAAATAATCTGGATGCAGATTTCCCCCCCAAAAGTTATTTTGTCAAAAGCAGCAGAAATTTATGGTGTTCTGCACAATCTTTGGACATTGTGCAGAGAAACACTGACCACTTGTAAACAATCCTTAATCACTTAGGAAGATGTTTCTCCTTTCTCAGTCTGCTCTAATTCTCTGATTTAGCTGTAACTTGCATATTTCGGAGCATTACAATGACAAAATCTACACAATAGCCTATGAGAGAAAGAGGAGGGACATAATATTTAGGAATATTTAGGGAAATGATATTCAAGACTGACAAGATGAAACACATTTGGAAGTTGGGATTCCCAAGTTCTCTACAAAAACGTCCTCCAAGAATGCTGTGAGAACCTTCCAAGTTTTTAGCACTTTCTCACCTGCAAATGTAGAGGTGAAAATGAAGACAGAAAACTGAGGAAAAGACCCAATAATGGCAAAGTTCTCAGAATGAGAAGTGAGGCTCAGAATGATTATTCCTGATTTAATACCATTTGCTTTGCTCAGTGATCATCAACACCAAGAGTACAGATAAATAACATTTTCCTCACCTTTCTGCTGTGGACAGGAGAGATCAGGAGCTGCTGGGGGAGATCCTCTTCATTCATTCCACTCACCTGTTAGGACATGTTTCCCATATGAGGCACTGTAAGGATCAGCTGTTCCCTGGAGATGTGAAACCTGGAAACTCCTTCATAAAGGTTTTGGAGTGAAACTCTTCTGACTTTATTGCTCACCTCTTCTGGAGTAACAAGAACAGAATGTGGCACAAAACAGACCAAGCAGCAAATTCTTCCTGTGGAGTAACTCTTTTCTTGTAATCATTTACACCATTGTTAATTGTGCATAATTTGCACCTTAACCTAAAGCACTTTTCCCTCCAGTTTAACCATTTAAGTACATCACAAATTGATCATGATGAAGAGAAGCATTAAAAAGAAATGCATTTTCCCTTCCACTCTGAAAGAATTTGAGAATATTACAGTGGTAGGTTTTGGATGTTAATTAATTGCTGATACCCACCTCAGGACAAACATATCTTCTTAAAAATTTCTCATTTATTTGTAATTTTCAAAGCCTTGTAGTTTCACCCATTTTTTAAAGGAAGATGTTTATACAAATTGTAATAAAAAAAATTAGACCTCTGTATGCACCTGAGTCTTTCTCCCATTCCACACTTTGAGTCACTTGCACTTCCTTCCTTCTGAAAATTTGTAGGTTGATGGCAAAAGTGGTTCCAATACCGCATATCCTCAAGAACGTTTTCTCCTTT